CTTTATTTGCGATTTCTTTAAGAAATACAATGGCGTCAGAGAAATTCAGAATGTTTAACATTTAGATTGTTTTAACAGTTTACATTTTCTTTTGTGTTGAAAGTTCATAATTGGTCAAAGAATTCCTTAAGGGAGTACACCGGTCGGTCCACAAGCCAGTTCCAGAGTTGCTGTTTGAATTGGTTTCCTGTTGCGTTCTTGAGGTTGTTTGGAAGAGAGTTGATGATTTTTCGGCCAATATAAGAGGGTTTTCTGCTGTATTGTGTAGTGTGGTGGATCGGAAGGTTGTAGTCGGCTGCTTTTCTGGTGTGGTAGGAGTGAAAATTCTCATTTCTGGGAAGGTTGAGTTTTTTTGTGTACAGGACAACTCCATGGATGTAGAGTGCTGTCACTGTTAGGAGCTTAAGGGATTTAAATGCTTCCCTGCAGCTGTCTAAGCGCTCAAGGCCGGAGAGTGCCCTGACAGCTTTTTTCTGGAGTACCAACACTTTGTTGAGGTTTGCTTCTGATGTTCCTCCCCAAGATATTAAGCAATACCTTATATGCGATTCTATTACAGCATAGTAAGCTGTCTTAGCTGTTTCCAGGCCTCCTATCCATTTCATCCTCTTTATTACATGGACACCAGATGCAAGTTTTTTGGTCAGGTTGTGTATGTGGTCGTTCCAGGAGAGGTCTTCATCAATTGTCAGGCCCAGCAGTTTTGAGTTTTTTTCAACGGTTATTTCAGGAATTTCTTGGATTTGTTCATGTTTTCGGCTGAAATTTAACTGGGTTGTTTTTGATGGATTAATGGCCAGGTCATTTTGAAGGCAGTACTGCAGTGCTTTGTCTGTTGAGGATAAGATGTTGGAGTGTAATTCTTGTGGTAAGTCATGCATAAATAGAAGAGTTGTGTCATCAGCGTACATTATTGTTTCACAATTGTCATTCCTAATAAAATCTGGAAAATCATTGGTAAAAAGGATGAACAAAAATGGGCCCATGACTGAGCCCTGGGGCACTCCCCTGTTAATCGAAAGTTGTGTGGACCTATGTACAGATTTTCTCCCATTTGTGTTTTGCTGGATTTCAACAATTTGTGTACGTCTTTTCAAATAGCTTGCCACCCAGTCTTTGGCCATTCCCTCTATTCCTAGGGCTGTGAGTTTCCTTAGGATGAGATTATGGCCCAGGCAGTCAAAAGCTTTGCTGTAGTCAAGTAAGACTGTTTGATACATATCTGCGTGCTTCTAGATGGTCAATGATTTGTTCGATTAAACTAGTTAGAGCTGTGGTGGTGGACCTCCCTTTGAGAAAACCATGTTGGTTTTTAGTGATGAGATCATTGCTTTCCAAGTGACTCAGCATTCTTGACAGAGCGACCTTTTCTATTACTTTTGAAAAGGTTGATATTAATGAGATAGGGCGGTAGTTTTCTTGTTTAGTGCGTGAGCCTTTTTTGTGCTTTGGGTATATTTTTGCTATTTTTAGGGCGGAGGGAAATTGTCCAAGGCTAAAAGATTTGTTTATTATGCTGACAAGTGGGGCTGCCAGTTGTTCGGCACAGTGTTTTACAACTTTTGATGGCACTTCATCTACTCCACATGACAGCTTTGATTTCAGTGAGGCTATTGTTGCTAAGACTTCTTTAATGGTTGTAGGAGTTAAAATTAGTGGCTGGACATTGCTTTGTGGTAGAAATAGTGGATGTGTAATTTTTTTGTTTTTGAATTGGCTTCTGTTTTTTTCTAAAGTGGAGTCTGCTATTTCTGCAAAATATTGGTTTAGGTGTTCAGCAATGTCAGTAGGGTTATCTAATATTTTTCCCTCTATTTCCAGCTGCAGATTTGGTTCTTCCTTCTGTTTACATTGTTTTTCTTTGTTGATGATCTCCCAGACAGCTTTGGATTTATTATCAGCACTTGTGATGTATTCTGCAGTGGCTTGTCGCTTGAGGGACCTGAGCTTTAAATCATATGTTTTCTTTTTTTCCGACATTGTTGTTTTATCATTTACATTTCCGGTAAGCTCGTATAAGTTCAAACATTGAACGAAATGGGAAACGCTGCACCAGCTGATCATAGTCGTGATATCTTTAAGTGCTGCCAACCTATTTCCAAGCATACACGGATTACGTGCATAATAAAAGCACACTGTTTTGTGTTGTTTGGTTGAAATACTGGTGTGCTAAAAAAAAAAAAAAAAAAAAACCGTGCAGCAAAGTAAACACTGTGTGGCAAAAGTAAGTAAATGCAGCAGTTAGCAACTGTCTGTACTATAGTCAGTGCAAGGAAGCCCACTTTGTCGGGTGACTGTAGGAAAAAGTTATTTAATTCATCTCTAGCAAAAGAAATAGCTGTTCAATAATAGTTTAAAAAATAAGATAGATCTAATTATTATTTGACAAGCTATTCCATTGACTCTCTTGAAAGATTCAGAGCGTTCTTCGCTGAAATAGTTTTAACAGACCAATTTTAAATGGCTAGTCACATACACAAATAAGAATGTACGTTAATACTAGGGATGGGCGGGCCCTCGAAATTTTGGGAAATTTTAAATCTTGCTCTATGAGACGAGATTCTATTTTAGTCTAAATTTTTTTCAAACAAGATTACAATGTTTTTTATTTCAAAATTTTAAAAAATTAATAAAAAGTTTAAAAATTAAAAAATTCAAAAGTTAAAAAAAACTTTGCGAAGGCATTTTTATTTAATTATTCTTTACATGGAAATATTGCTACAATTCTTTTATATTTTTATTGACATAGCAAATGACGATGAGCTTTGTTAGTGTAAGCAGTGTGAGACATGTTTTACTACTGTAAACATAGCCAAAATAACTTACTCTTACTCTTAACTTACTCCCATGGCCATTTGTACCCCAAGTGATACTTGGCCTCACCAACACACTGCCTTCTTGTCGCCCTGTCTCTTGCGGTATCTTCATTAACTTCCATCCTGGCCATATCTTTCTTTACTTCATCCGTCCAGCGTTTCCTCGGTCTCCCTTGTGGTCTCCTCCCCAGTGGGTCACTTTTCCATATTTGATAAAGTGTGCTAGTTTCCTCTCTTCTAATGATGTGGCCCGTCCAGCGAAGCCTCCTGCTTTTAGCCTCTGCAATTATATCTGGCTCCTTGAACAGGTCTCTTAGTTCCTGATTATGTTTAATTCTCCACACATCTCCTTCTTTAGTAGGGCCAAAGATTTTGCGCAGGACTTTATTTTCAAAAGTAATAAGTTTTTTCTCTGTGTTTTTATCCATAATCCAGGTTTTAGCTCCATAAAGAAGGACAGGTAGATTTTAAGTTTAGTGTGATGAGACAATAATCTTGATGACAATAATTTGTTTAGAGCATACATAATTCTACTGGCTAGGTTTATTCTATTCTTGATTTCTATGTGTTCCTCACTTTGTGAGTTGACAATAACTCCTAAATATTTAAAATACTCAACTTGTTCATGTTCATACTGTTGTTCTATTTTTTGTCATGTTCTCCTCGTTCTCTGCTCCCCTTCTAAATCTGACAAGTTTCGGTTTGTTGTCATTTATTTTCAGGCCCACTGCTCTTGTTTCTCTTTTAAGGATTTCAAACATTTCCTGGAGTTCTTCTCTGGTCTCTGCAAGCAGTACTACATCATCTGCAAAGGCGAGCACGCTTATCTTACTTCCAATTCTTATGCCATATTCTGTATTCTTCAGCTCTTTAACACGTTGACTGCGCGTGCCGACTTTAGTCGGCGTCGCCAGCGCTCCCAGGTGGCGCGCGCCGACTACAGTCGGCACCAGACCAACAGTAATATATTGAGTCAGTGTGAGCTTAGCCTCAGACGGAGACGTTATAATCGTTGCCAGCCTGCCAGCTTAGAATGCGAGCTTTACTTTGGTGTAGGTTGGTACTAAAATTTCCCGTAAAATCCCGTCTGGCAATGCTTTTGTCCCGGTTTCGGGGATTTTTTCTCTTCAACCCACATTACAAAGACACTGGATACGGATCCATGCAGTGCTGCTACCTTTGGGTGTTTCAGTGAACTACATCCACTCTCGGGGTAACGCAGCACAGTCACCACTGCTCTTTTGTGATTCGTCAGACTGAAATATTTGAATGCCAATTGCGTTCGCTGATTCGGTTGCGCGCCGGGGCTTCGCCCGCCACTGGGGAGCGCCTGTAAAGTCGGCGCGCGCAGTCAACGTGTTAAGTGCTCCCTCAAGAGCTATATTGAAGAGTGTAGGTGAAATAATATCTCCCTGCCTAAGTCCTGTTTTTATGTCAAAGGATGGTGAGTAGTCATTATCTATTTTAACCTTGCTCTTAGAGCCATTAACACTTAAAGTAGCCAATTTTATTAGTTTATTTGGGTTTCCAAAACTTTCCATTCTATACCAAATTTGTTCCCTTTGAATGCTATCATAGGCTTTGCTAAAATCGATAAATAGGCCATAGAATAGCCAAAATAAGTCACTCCAAAATCATTCTAAAAATAACACAATTTGACTTAAAAATTGTTACTTGATACTTAACTAGTAATACTGTTTTTTAAACTTATATATTTGATATTTTTCAAAGTTGAACTATATAAATTCAAGTTCAGTTCATTCATTCAGTTGAACTATATTAATTATACTAACTGATATCTCCATGTTTCCTATGCCGAAGAGTTATTTTTAATAAGTTAGCCTTATTAATATTTTTATTATTTTGTTTACTGATGTTTTTATTAATGTTTTTTAATAAACGATTTTAAATATTTTTGTCTACTATTATTATTTTTGTATTTAAACAGTCTGTCATAAATCGGTAGGTATTTAAAAATGTTAAAAAATCAGGTTAAAATGTGGAACGTGCATTCCTGTTATGTATGAGAAGGAAAATCCCGCCTCGATCTCGTCTCAAAATTTTATGAGAAATAAAAAAATTCTGTCTGGTCTTGTTTCGAACTAAAAATCTAATCTTGTCCATCCCTAGTTAATACAATACAAAATGTCAATGTTATTGTTATTATACTTCTTTTTTTCATAGTTCCTGGACCACGGGTTGAAATGGCATCACAACAAACTGAGGCTGGAAGGTTATTTAAAAGCTTATGAGCAGATGACAAAAATAGGATCTCTTCCATTTTACATTGTGTCTTTTGGTGAGTATACAGTATCTTCCTTTGACTAATGATACTACTAGATATTCCATCCCCCATTAAAATTGTTGCTAGTTTTTAAATTAAATTCGTCGTAGTTTATGTGAGCCACTGACGGATTGTGTTGATCTAAATTACTAATTTCTGTGAAATACACAATGTTTTTTATCAAGTTGTAACGGGTCAAATTTTATTGGGGGAGTAATATTTTTACGGTCATCCTAAATGGGGATGACCGTAGTTCTCATCCCCAACGCCAGGGGCGGTATGAGAGAATTAATGAATAAATAAAACATAATTTATCTCAAAAACAAAATCATTACACAAAAATACAAATTGATAGTTTGAAATGGATCCCCAAATGGGCTGGTGCCTGTGCTTGGGGATCGATTCCACTATCAGCACAGTGAAAACAATAAGATTTACACCGTAGACTTAATATATTGTAACACAAAATTAACTTGAAAAGAACAACAAGAAATACAATAAATACAAGAAAAATAGTATTTAAAAAAAATTGTATGCACACATATATTCTGTTTATCTTTTCAGTTTAATGTAGCCTATATAAATATAACAATAACAGTAATAAATAAAGACAAAAACATACTATGAATATGAAATATCCTTTTGAAATTGCCTGAGACTTGGTCCATACGTTTTACAGACATTGCCCTAAAACATTCACACACATTCACTCACCCACACAACTCACAAAGTCAGGACTTGAGCTCACGCACAACTAAGATCAAACATACTTTCACAGCCACTACACTCCAACGGTACTTGCTCTGTGACCTTTAGGCGGCTGGTAGCTCTTTTAAAAAAAACTGTAAAAGCACAGTCCCTCTTAGGTCCAGCCCGGTGAAAATAAAAGTGGCACACCCACACGCACACACGCACACAGCACAGACATACTGCATTCATCGTACAAGGAGATGAAATAGTTTCTGATTCTATGACGACCAACTTCTAACAGACATTTTTTAAACATTTTTTTTAAAGTACCTACGTACACTGCATGAAGGGGGGGATTTAATACTTAGTGGAAGTTGGGAGTTAATGATGTTCCAAGATAAAAAGATGAGGTACTATTTATTCACTTCGTTAATCTAGGGGTGATAATTCCATGATTTTGATTATCTGTTTGGGTAATGATGTGTAATCCGTCAGAATAAGAAAGCTTTATTTTTATGAATATACAAACAAAAATAATGATTTTTTTTAGGGATGGACGAGATTGGATTTTTAGTTCGAGACGAGATTTTTTATTTCTCATAAAATTTCGAGACGAGATCGAGACGGGATTTCCCTTCTCATACACAACGGGAAATGCACGTTCAAAATTTTTACCTGATTTTGTAACATTGTTAGATGACTGTTTAAATACAAAAATAATGATAATAGGCAAGAATATTTACAATCTTTTATTAAAAAACATCAGCATAACATTTTATTATTAATCACGCCTAACTTATTAAAAATGCCTACGATTAGGAAACATAGTGATATCAGTTAGGATAGAGTTCAACTTATCCTGAAATAAAATAAATCATAAAATAAAAGCAATATTAATTTTTATAAAATAGTTACTTGTTTTAACTTTTTATAGTAATAAATCATTCCTCACTGCTTACACTTAACACAACTTCTCAAATGTTATTAAAGTAATATTATTAAAATAATTAAAGTAATATTTACATTTAAAGAAATAATTAAATAAGAACGCCTTCGCAAAGGAAACGCAACTGCAACACGCTCCTGTATTGCGGGTATTGCATTGACTTTCTGCAGGCGTTTTTAATTTTTTTTTTATTCTCGTCTCGATAAAAATCTCGGCCAAAAAGAAATCTCGTCACGTGTAACGAGATTTAAAATTTCCAGAAAATTTCCCGAAAATTTCCCGAAATTTCGAGACTTGACCATCCCTAATTTTTTTTATAGTTGAGGTATATTTAGTAGGTACTTAAAATTCATTAAACAGAGGATTTGAGGTATGAAAGCGATGTTTGTTGAGTGCTATCTTAATAATAGACTTTTGCATTATTTCTAGTGTCTCCAAAACATTCTGATAACATCCACCCAAGCTAAAATTCCATATTGCAATAATTATTGATTGTATATGGGTATAATACACAATTAGAGAGCTGCTTGAGAAGCGCCCTGGGCAGTAAGTTGTTTTATGGTGAGCTGAATAGGGACGCACATTGTTCTACGTTTTAGCGAATTTCCCGTATAGGGAATAAGCTATTACAGTAGGTCTCATGGTAAGACTTAGACCCGGGACCGATTTACTTTTTTTTTGAGGTCCCCAGAGGCCAAAAACACCCTACGTTCAGATTCATATATAAATATTATGATTTCACTAGTAATATAAAATAATGTAAATATATATAATATAAAAATTCACTAGTATATATATACTAGTGGCTTGTAGGGACATAAGTCCCTAAAAAGCTCAATAATATAAAACAAATTATTCTTATATTTAAACAAAATAAGAAATATATTATCTATGCGTCAAAATAAATATCCCTGTACGCCATATCCTTTGTGTAAAAAACAGTTTGTTGTTTGTCTTGGTTTGCCTTTGTTGATATTATATTCAAAAAATAATTAGAATCTATACATAGGTTTAACTCTGCTAAAGGCAGCAAACATATAATTGTTTGTGAATAAATACTGGCTTATTAAGGTAGCTTTGGTCTTGTGGTTAGTGGTGATAAAACAAGGCTTCCCTGATTCGAATTTTGGGAATTGTCTTTGTCAAATATGAAAAGGCAAATAAAGGTGGGTTGAGGTAAGCTTAGTTCTTGGCCAAACCCACTAAATTAGCATCCCTACCCAGTTAATTTTTATAAGTTTATACTCCTTTTGTTAAGGTTTAACAACATTAGTGTAAAGTAAAGGCATCCCATTGACCAAACTTAACCCTAGATTTTTTCTGATCAACTTAAAAAAAACTACAATTAGTCTAAGTTTATGTGGTGGTATTCCTCTTAAAGGTGCGATTGACGTTACATATTCTATCAAATTAGTGCTAATCATCAGCTGATTCTTAACTCTTTTGGGAGCAATAGACAGTACCTGTTTTAAATCTCCAAACAATATTGATTTCTCCAATTGGAACTTGTCATAGTACTTACTTAATAAAAAAAATATATAATATTTCCAATACGAACCTATTCCATTTTTATTCCCAGGTATTCTAAGAGAAGCCTTTGAGGTTATTCCACTTCATACAAAATATTGATTAAACACTACAATAAATCTCAAATTTAAAATAAAGAAATAGTCTAGGCATATTAGGAAAGTTAGCAGAAAGTTTAGGTACAGTCCTAATCATCACTTTCCTTTATGTTTTTTGGGTCGCTGAACACGAATATGAGGTTTGCTGACAGATATTTTGCCCGGAACATTGGTTATTTTGTGAAAAACCTTAAAATTTGGGCACTTTTTTTGGTTTTTCGGGCAAATCTTGGTAAGTATGGGTTTTTGAGAAAATCCTGCTTTGTAAAATTGAAGATGACAAAATTTACTACAAGTTTCCTATATAATGTTTGTTTCTATGACGAACCGTTTCGCCACTAGAGCACACTAAAAAAGGCCAGAAGTACAAACAATTAAAAACATTGCTAAATGCTGCCGTTTTACATTAGGTTTCCATAGAAACAACCCATGTTACGATTATTTTAACTATTAATTCATGATAACAAACTGATACACACTTAAAAATACCCCCGCCACAGCAAACCTGCAGACTAAGCGAATTTCCATTTCCCTGATTGGATTTACACTAAAATGTCTCCTTATAAATATCACATTTATACCCTATTTAAATAAAAGTTTAACCAGTACTTAGGTTTGCTGCAACAGGGAGGGTAAAAGGTGTTTTTTGTAAAATGTAAAAATTTGGTATGAAATTAATGCATTGTCCAAATTTGATAAGAATAACATGGGCATTGTAAATTTACAGATTTTTGGAATTTTCTCCGTAACCATTAGGCGCATAACAACGCTTTAATATACTAAATTATTTGTTTTTTTTAAGCTCTACAAAACGTGATGGAAATAAATCGCTAAATTTTAAGTTTATAGGGTCAAAAATAGGAAAAACCAATTTTTACCCCATAAACCCCCCCCTCCATAAATCTCTGTTCCCATAGTCCGATCATGCTGGTTCGCGAACTCGTTCGAATAGACGTAGACACGGTCTACTCGTCTGAATTTGACGTTACCAAAGTTAAAAGTTATCTACAACTCTTTTAATGTATTTCATCCTTTTTTCACTATAGCAGTCAACCCTGTGGCCAGCAACATCCCTGTGCTGAGAAAATAAATGGGGGTTTTGTGGGAACGGGAAATGTTCCAGCAGTCAGTCATACATCTTGGCATAGATTTATTAACACGTTCGCTGCTACGGACGTTCCGGAACGTCAGCCGGGCCACGGCGCCAGGAGCTAAGAACGTTCCAGAACGTCACCGTTCATTGTTGTTTAACGTTGCTATGGATAAGCCAGCACGTCACAAGCGTTCTATATTTCTTTGCAGCTCGTACGGACGTACTTTTCTGACAATAAAAAATATAGTTTCCCAAATCACCACCAGGGTCGTTTGGAACAGGGCTTTGTTTTACCTCTTTCCTGCTAGATAGCGACACTACTTTACTGACTGTAACCTGGGTAGTGCTGCTATCTATCAGAATCACTTAGTACTATATCCAAAGCCAGTTTTATTGCAGAACATTGCCATCCAGTATAGCTACTGTTGTTTTTACTGTAACTCAGTGTATCGGTGGCAATGTCACGCAGCGGCCGAGCGTTAGTTCAGCAACTGGCGCCGTCCCGGCATCTAGCGCTCAGCAGCGAACGTGTTAAGTGTGTTTCAGTTCATTATCATGAATAAATAGTTCTAATTATCGTAACATGGGTTGTTTCCATGGAAACCCAATGTAAAACCTTTGTAAAACGGTTAGGGTTTATTTTCTGTAATGACTCAAAATT